GATGAAATCGGAGACGTTAATGGTTTTCCTCTCAAGCCAAACAAACTCTTTATGCAAGAGGTAAAATCTAAATTCGATAGCTCGGAAGCTTTATTTCCTTCCAATATAGGATTTGGTGAAATGGAAAATAGTGTTTTCATTGGTTTTTAGTGGATGAGAAAAGGAAATTCGATGAATTTATTGATGAATTGTTGAATTTCAGGCGATTGGAGCTGAATATGGAGAAGGGTTTGAGACTTTTAGACAGGATGGTCCTCTCAAGGTGGATGTGGTAAGAGCTTGTGATGTGTTGTATCCATAGCATTCGATCAGTGGCTGCTTTGCAAAGCTTGTTCTGTAGGCAACATTTAATTTCCTTTTTTGCTTGTAAGTAGGATTTCTGGAACGAGAAGCTGCAAGATGGTTTTCTTCAAAGAATACGTTACGCAATGAAACCAGACGAAGCTTATGGACTTATTTTCTCATGGGACAATGTCGTGGTAATTCTTTTACACAATCTTTATGTTTTGCAAGTTAGTTAATGGAAATTATTGTAGCCATAGCTTCTTCTTCGTGGTAATTCTTTTACACCATCGGTTTTTGGATTATGTAGACGATACTGCCCTATTATTTGGTCAATCATAGAAGTTGTAGAATAGAAATGCATGGTCGATTACTAGTTTTGGACTTAGATTAGGTACAATTGCTTCTTCTTCTTGTATGATATGAAGATTTGTCTGTTAAGTATCGGTTTATTGCTTCATAGATGATGCTTTCTGTTAGCTGGTGTATGTAAGTAGGTATATAGAAAAGCCGTGTGGTCCATGCCTACCAATTTAGGATTCAAGAGTCGACATTTATCATTTTTCCATTATGGCTCAAACTTTGTAGGCTGATACTCGAAGTCTGAAGTTGGAAGCTTGGAAACAGCTAGCCGCAGAAGAAGGTAAGCGTTTATTGCTCTCCTGCTTTTTCACTGTTTACAGAATTATGATCTAATTTATTTTTTGCATGTGTGCGTGAAAAGAGATGTCGTGCAATACCTACTCATAGATATTTAGTACTGCCCATTTACCCTTTTAAGGAATGTTGAGAGAGTGTCCAAAGATATCAATGAACTCAATCGTTAGATTACCTTCTATTATTTTTCTTCCAGTTTTTTTTTGTTTTCTTACATTTAAATGTTATAATAGTGTGTTTCTCTTCAAACAAACCTATAGTTGAGTTCTGAATATATATCTGCATTTTGAAACAATCAAAACCTTTGTCTGTATAGAAATTCCCATGGAAGCTCAATTGCATTTGCAGTAGATAGTTGTCTTGTTTACGTAGAGTTATGATATATGAATTGTTCTATTGAGATAATTTGGTGTGCTGGCACTTTTGCTGGCTTTGTATACTTCAAAGGAATTAAATTTATTGAGCTCATCAATTAAATTGTTTGGCAGGAAAAGAAATTATGGAGGAGGATAACATCCAAAGACCGATGCTTTATGCTGGTGCTGACCATGTGCTGAGTAAGGTTTGAGATTTCTTTCCTCGTTACCATTTTCTTGGACATGAAATTTGCAAGCTATGACATAGTATTAAATATTTTCTTGTGACTATGTGTCTGCTAGATTCGTATA